TGGTTTCATTGTTCTGTTCTACTGTGGGTTTTTTTAGTTCCTATTTTGCTTATTTCTGCTCTATTATTTATTGTTTCATCTATTAGTTTTGGGTTTTGTTTGCTGTTCTTTTTCTATTTCCATTAGATGTCAGGTTAGATTATTTATTTGGGGTTTTTCTTGCTTCTTGAGGTATGCCTGTATTGGTATAACCTTCCCTTTTAGAATAGCATTGTTGCATCCCAAAGATTTTGGTCCATTGTGTTCTCATTTTCACATAACATTTTAATTTGTCTCCGTGTGTGTGTGTGTGTGTGTGTGTGTGTGTGTGTTTACTTCTTGGTTGACTCATTCTTTGTTTAGTAGCATGTTATTTAACCTCCATCTGTCTGTGCACTTTCCAGGTTTGTTTGTTTTTTGTAATTGATTTCTAGTTTCATAACATTGTGGTCAGAAAAGATATATGGTATGACTTCGATCTTTTTTAATTTGTTGAGACTTGGTTTGTGGCCTAATATATGATCTATTCTAAATAATGTTTCATGTACACTTGAAAAGAATGTATATTCTGCTGTCTTAGGATGGAATGTTCTGAATATAACTGTTAGATCCATCTGGTCCAATGTGTCCTTCAAAGCTACTGTTTCCAGGGCACCTGGATGGCTCAGTGGTTGAGCATCTGCCTTTGTCTCAGGTTGTGATCCTGGGGTCCTGGGGTCAAGTTCTGCACTGAGCTCCCCGCAGGGAGCTGGCTTATTCCTTTGCCTATGTCTCTGCCTCTTTCTCTGTCTCTCATAAATAAATAAATAAAATCTTTAAAAAAAAGTGCTACTGTTTCCTTGCTGATTTTCTGTTTGGATAATCTGTCCATTGATCAAAGTAGGGTGTTAAAGTCCCCTGCTATTATTGTATTACGATTAGTTTATGTTCATCATTAACTGCTTTATGTATTTGGATGCTCCCGTGTTGGGTGTGTAAATATTTACAATTGTTGTATCTTCTTGTTGGATTGTACTGTTTATGATTATACACTGTCCTTCTTTGTTTTAAAGTCTATTTTTACTATACAAGTATTGCTAATCTGGCTTTCTTTTTACTTCCATTTGCATGATAAATGTTTCTCGATCCCCTCACTTTCAATCTGGAGGTGACTTTAGGTCTGAAATGAGTCTCTAATAAGCAGCATATAGATTCTTATTTTCTTATACATTCCATCACCCTATGTCTTTTCTTCTTTAAAGATTTATTTTTTCATGAGAGACAGAGAGAGAGGTAGAGACACACACAGAGGGAGAAGCAGGCTCCTCCCAAGGATCCCAATGCAGGACTCAATCCCGGACCCTGGGATCATGCCCTGAGCTGAAGGCAGACACTCAGCTGCTGAGCCACCCAGGTGTCCCATCCTATGTCTTTTGATTGGAGCATTTAGTCCATTTACATTCAGATGCAATTCTTGATATGTGTGTATTTATTGGCATTTTGTTACTTTAATGGTTGTTTTCCTAGTTCCTCTCTGTTCCTTCTCTTGCTCTCTTCTCTTATGATTAGTTGGCTTTCTTTAGCAAAATATTTGGATTCCTTACTCTATTTTTTGCATACCTATTGCTGTTTTTTGATTTGTGGTTACCATACAGTTTATATATAACATCTTCTGCAGTCTATGTTAAGCTGATAGTCACCTAATTTTGAACTCATTATTTACTCCTCTCTCCTCCATGTTTCAGATATTTGGTATCATATTTTACATCTTTTTATTCCACACTTCTCTTGGCTGATGCATACAGATATGCTTTTTTTTTTCTTTTACGCTTCTTGTTTTCCTTACTTATGGATTTTCTTTTTCACTCACAGAGTCCCCTTAGCATTCTTGTAGGGCTGGTTTAGTGATTATGAATTCTTTTAACTTTTGTTTGTCTGGAAAACTCTTTATCTCTCCTCTATTCTAAATGATAGACTTGCTGGATAGATTACTCTTGGTTGCTGATTTTTCCCTTTCAACACTTTGAATATATTGTGCCACTCTCTTAGGACCTGCAAAATTTCTGCTGAAAAATCAGCTGATAGCCATATGGGGTTTCCTTTGTATGTTACTGTCTTTTTTTAAATATAACCTTTAAAATTCTTTATCACTATTTTATTTTATGTATTTATTTATTTTTATCACTATTTTTGCCACTTTAATTACTATGTATCCTGGTGTGGCTCTCTTTGGGTTGAATTTGTTGTGGGATCTCTGTGCCTCCTGAATCTGGATCTCGGTTTCCCTCCCCAGATTCAGGAAGTTTTCAGCTATTATCTCTTCAAATATTTTCTGCTCACCTTTCTCTCTCTTCTCCTTCTGAGATCCCTATAATGTGAATGTTATTATGCTTGATGGAGTCACTGAGTTCTCTAAGTCTATTCCCATTTGTTTGTTTCTCACCTATTCATCTTGATTGCTTTTCATTACTCTATCCTTCAGGTCACTTATATATTCCCCCACTTCCTGTAGCCTATTATTATTTCACCGTGTGTATTTTTAATTTCACTTATTGAGTTCTTCATCTCTGATATGTTCTTTTTATGTCTTTGTTAAGGGTCTCACTGATGTCTTCCACTCTTGTCTGAAGTCTAATGAGTATCTTTATGATCATTACTTTAAATTCTTTATCAGGCATATTACCTATTTCTGTTTCACTTAGATCTCCTGATACGATTTTGTCCTGTAGTTTCATTTGGGACACATTCCTCTGTCTCATTTTGTCTGCCTCTGTGTGTTTTTTTCTGTTAGGTAAGTCAGCTATATCCTTTGCTCTTGAAAGTAGTGGCTTAATGAAGAAGAGATCCTGTAGTGCCCTGCAGTGCAGTGTCCCCTGTTCACCAGAACCTGGCACTTCAGAGGAGTCTCCTATATGTGTTGCTTGTGTCTCTTGTGTCTGAGTTGCTTTTTCTTTCAATTCAGATATCTGTGCTGACTTTCTGCCTGTTGTGGGCTGTGCTTGCTCTCTGTGGTGTTAATGAGAACTGAGCAGGCCAGCTCTGAAGGAGCATAACTGCAGCAGGGTTCATGAGCAGGGCAAGAGTATTAGCAAAATTTGTACTGAGTCAAGAGTCCTAAGCCAGTCCCCTGAAGCACAGTGGCTGTGGTGGTCTGGGGTGCAGTGTGTGGTGGTGGCTGGGGTCCATGTGCGCAGGGTGCTCACACATTAAAATTTGCACTTAGCCCAGGGCTGAGGCCAGTAGGCTTGGAGTGGGCAGGTCCTCAGGAGAACACATGGGTGGGGCACATCACTAGCAGGTCAGGTAGCAAGTGTCTGTGCAGTGTAGCCTCCTGAAAGTGGCTCTGTGTTCATGCTGGGGGTGGGGGAGGAAAATGGCATCTGACAACTCCTTTGGTCCCAGAGAAGTCCCCCAACACAGTCTGAAATCAGTATAAACAGATTTCTTCCCATATGCTCTAGGCATTGTGTAAACGATCACTTCTATGTTGTTTCTCTGTAGACTGCTATCTCTTTAAGGTGGGGTCGCAGCAACCACTTACCCTCCTGGCTTGCCCAATGCTGAGCCAGCTGACTTCTAAAGCTCCAGGTTCCAAGTCCCACTGGTTATACAAACTCACATAATTCAGCCCCTTTAGTTTTCAAAGCCAGATGTTACAGGAATTCATCTTCTCTATGTGGGCTCCCTGGTGCAAGGGATTGTTTCTTTCCCCTTTCCATGCCACAGCTTCTTCCCTCCTGAGGGGAGCTCCTGACTACCATTTCTGTCCTTCTTAACCTCTTGGGTGCAGTTTCTTCTCTACATTTAGTTGTGGAGTTTGTTCTACCAGTCTTCAGATTGCTCTCCAGCTTATTTACACAGATGTGAGTAATATCTAGTTGTAAATGTGGGTGGAGGTGAACTTAAGGTCTTCCTACTCTGCTATATTCCCAAGCTCCTTCTATGAACATAACTTTATTTTAACTTTTTAAAAAAAGATTTTATTTATTCATGAGAGACACACACACACAGAGAGAGAGAGAGAGAGGGGGGGGGGGCGGAGGCATAGGCAGAGGGAGAAGCAGACTCCCTGCAGGGAACTCGATGTGGGACTCAATCCCAGGACCCCAGGATCACAACCTGAGCCAAAGGCAGACATTCAACCACTGAGCCACTCAGGTACCCTTTATTTTAACTTTTTTAAAAAAAAGTTATTTATTTATTTGGTGGGGGGGAGAGAGATTGAGTACACAAGCAGCAGGGAAGGGCAGATGGAGAAGCAGACTCCCCGCAGAGCAGGGAGTCTGACACAAGGCTTAATCCCAGGACCAGTCCAGGGACTCTTCCTCCCCAGCCCCCAAGTCCTGGAACCAAAAAAAAAAAAAAAAAAAAAAAAAAAGGAACTAAAACTATGGGATGAACATGAACTGATCCTATCTATAGATGTAAAGTAGAGGAGATTGCTTACCTTGGTAATCAAGGATCTGTTCATGTGTTTTAAAAGACACATGAACAGAAAATGAAGCAAGATGCTCAGGAAAAACTGGGACCTTTAGTCAAGGAATGAACCAGAGTTCTTTCACATTAACAGAGAAATAACAAGAAAGTATATCTGTTTTAGCCTTGCTCTGCATGAAAAAAACTCTCCCTCGAGAATTTGCAACAACAGACCCACCCTCACTTAGGTTTGAGATCACATTTACCCTAACTGCATGTCTTTAGGACCTTAAAGCCAAATATTAAGGTAAAAAATTGGTCCAATATTGAGCATTTAACAAGAGCAAATACTAAGCCTCTCCAGAGAGGACAATCTCAACTTAGATCACACAAAATTCACACAGATAAAGAAAGGCCTGCCAAAAATGAGCTCTTAAAAATTACAAAATGTACAGTGAAATATCCCACAATAAGCAAGATTCAGTCCAATGAGCTCATCAACAGAAACTATTAGGAAAGTGAAAAGGCAAGCCACAGACTGGGAAAAAAAATATTTCCAAAACACATACCTGTTAAAGGACTTGTATCCCGAATATGCAGCAAAATAAAAAATGGGAGATCAGGGCTTGCTTTGGCAGTACATATGCTAAAATTGAAATGATACAGAGAAGATTAACATGGCCCCTGCACAAGGATGACATGCAAATTCATGAAGTGTTCCATATATTAAGACTTTTAATGAAATGAACAAACAGCAAATGAACAAAAAATAATGATCATATGAAACATTCTATTTTGAGGGTAATTCAGTTTTATGGATGCTGAAATATTAGGTGAAATACAATTAAATCTTAAAAAAGATTTTTAAAACCAAAAACCAATGGGAGACCAGCCCTGAAAATTCTCTGAGTAGACAAAACCAGTTTAATCATATCACAGAGCTTAATTTAGCTTATTTTACAAGATTAACTTGACCTGGGTCATTTCTTGCTTATGCCTTAAAAAATCATAAGCAAAACTTAAACTGTTTCTCAAGATTGAGATAAGGTAACCACTAACCAATTTTATATCATTAAAAAAAATCTAATATTATAACCACTGTGAAGAATAAACAGTCACTGCTTTCTCACTATATAAGCTACTTTATACACCCCTGAGCTTCATTCCATGCTTTGGTTTCAGTGCTCCCGGTTTGCAAACTGTGTTTCTGGTATATGCACAATAAACTTTTACTATTTACTATACTTAAATAATTCACTGGTTTCACTTCTGTTATTTCTGAACTTTTCATAATATAAAGCATTTCTACTAATCTACTTAAAAAAAAGAAACAAAAACTCAATTGAAAAACAGCACAAAAAAAAAGAAAGAAAACCAGCACAAAGTCTGAAAATGTCATAGAAGATATCCAAATGGCCAACAAATATATGAAAAGGTACTTATTAACAACATTACTGGTGTAGGTAATGTAAATAAGAACCAAAATGAGATATCACTACATGTTTGCCAGATTGGCTACAATTAAATTGACAATACCAATCACTGATGAATATATAGAATCACTGGAATGCTCATACATTGTGAATGGGAGTGCAAAATTATGCAACCATTTTAGAAAACTGATTGGAATTTCTAATGAAATTAAACATTTTTCAAAATTGATATAGTAAACAAAAACCTCAGATGTAGGAAGCATAATAGATACTGAGCATATTAATAAACCTAAGTCCACACATTAAAGTGAAATTATCAAACCTAAGGGAAGATATTAACACAACTAGAGAAGATCTGGAAACAATGATCCTACCCAGTAGTAATAAGAATCCCTAATGCCCAGGGGTGCTTGGGTGGCTCAGTCGGTTGGTTGTCTGCCTTCAGCTCAGGTCATGATCTCAGCATCCTGGGATCAAGCCCCATGTCAGGCTCTCCACTCAGCAGGGAGTCTGCTTCTCCCTCTCTGTGTGCATGCTCTAATAAATAAATAAAATAAAATCTTAAAAAAAAAAAAGAATCCCTAATGCCCAGATTGTGATCTTGAAATACCATTTCCCAATAAAAGAAACTATGATATCTTAGAGAAATAGTTGATTCTAGATCTGGTGCTAGAAAAGTACAAGGTGAATCTAGAACATTTTGTTATACCATCTGGCAAGAAAGGCATCAAAGACTACTGGTTGAGGCATCTGGGTGGTTCAGTGGTTGTGCATCTGCCTTGGGCGTGATCCTGGGGTTCTGGGATTGAGTGTTGCATCAGGCTCCCTGCAGGGGACTGCTTCTCCCTCTGCCTGTATCTCTGCCTCTCTCCCTGTGTCTCTCATGAATAAATAAATAAATAAATAAATAAATAAATAAAATCTTAAAACAAAACAAAATCAACAACAAAAACCCGAAGACTACTGGTCATGCCAAAAGGACTCAAGAAACAACTTAAAGAAGCTCTCTCTGGGCAAAAATGGGACACATGGAATGTCACCATAAGTAATACATACAATGCAATACACTTGATTAAAAATGCTTAAATACTTGAGCTCATAATGATATTTTTTAAAAAGCTGGTAGAGTGCCTGGGTGGCTCAGTTGGTTAAGCATCTGCCTTCAGCTCAGGTCATGATCCCAGGGTCCCGGCATTGAGCCCTGCATTGGGCTCCCTGCTCAGTAGGGAGCCTGCTTCTCCCTCTCCCACTCTCCTGCTTGCACTCTCTCTCTCTTTGTGTCAAATAAATAAATAAAATCTTAAAAAAAACAAACTAGTCATATTTGGAGTATGATTAGGGAACCAATCGATTATCCTGAACACTGGCAAATAAAGGAAACGAATCAAGTGTTTTTCCTACCTGTCTTTTATGAACTATACCACTGGGGAAGTAAATTGATTTTTGAAAGCATCTTTTTACAAAAATATTTCAGAAAATAGGGATCCCTGGGTGGCGCAGCGGTTTGGCGCCTGCCTTTGGCCCAGGGCGCGATCCTGGAGACCCGGGATCGAATCCCACATCGGGCTCCCGGTGCATGGAGCCTGCTTCTCCCTCTGCCTATGTCTCTGCCTCTCTCTCTTTCTCTCTCTGTGACTATCATAAATAAATAAAAATTAAAAAAAATAGGAAATCACATTTCTAGTCCTCAATGAATTAATGACTCTAGGGAAAAAGCATCAATGTCTGCTATCACAAAAAAAAGGGGACAATCAGGCAACCACATAATGAGTAGTGTTGTCAAAGGTATCAAACCTGAGTCTGATCAAGCCTCTGCATCCAGCTGCTAATTTTTAGCAACACAGAGGATAAAGTCGATGTTGAACTGCACCCTGAATATGCAAGTAGTAAAATCCAAATTGTGGGAATTCTAGAAGTCAAATAGACCAGGTTCTTCAACAGATAAACTCTAAGAAAAAGAGAAGGGTGGAGGAAAAAACTATAAGTTAAAAGAGATTTAAAACACACAGAATAAAAACATTGTTAGTTCTTTAGAAGCCTTCCATGTGGGCAGCCTCAGTGGCGCAGCAGTTTGGCGCCACCTGCAGCCCGGGGTGTGATCCTGGGGATCTGGAATCAAGTCCCATGTCGGGCTTCCTGCAGGGAGCCTGCTTCACCCTCTGCCTGTGTCTCTGCCTCTTTCTCCCTCTGAATAAATAAATAAATAAATCTTAAAAAAAAATAATAAAAAAAAAGAAGCCTTCCTTGTACCTTATCCCAATCATAGGCACCTGACCTTCTCTCAAAAATAACTACTCTCCTGACTTTATAGTAGTCACTTCCTTGAATTTTTATAGGCTTATTACTGTGTGTGATACTACAGTTTAGTCTTGCCCTTTAAAAAATTAATATATATTTTTTCCTTGACCTGGGTACTAATTAAAAATGAGTTCACTTTATAATAATTCATTAAGCTATATATTTAAGGGGGAGAAGTTTCTGCCTCTGTGTTTTATCTTATTATAAAACCCACTAAAAATAAATATAAAACAACCAGAGATGGTTGTACAACATAGTAAATATACTAAAATCACTGAAGGGCAGCCCCGGTGGCGCAGCAGTTTAGTGCCGCCTGAAGCCCGGGGTTTGATCCTGGGGACCCTGGATCGAGTCCCACGTTGGGTTCCCTGCGTGGAGCCTGCTTCTCCCTCTGCCTGTGCCTCTGCCCCTCTCTCTGTGTCTCTATGAATAAATAAATAAAATCTTTAAAAAAATAAATAAAACCACTGAAATATAAGTACTAAAATAGAAATTTTTATGTTATGTGAATTAGATCTCAAAAAAGTTTTTATAAAGGAATAAAAATTAGATAATTTTCTTTAAAAAAAGGAACCAGAGAGAAGAACATTAATAGCTGATAATGGAATAATATCTTCAAAGGGCTGAATTAAAAGAACTGTCAATTTGAAAAGCTAAATTATCATACAAAAATGAGGGTAAAGTAGACATTTTTAGATTAAAAAAATGAAGAGAGTTTACTACTATCAGACATTTGTTGAGGAACTTTCAAAACTTTATGCAAAAGGGAAATCGACCTAGGAGTAAATGCAAGAGGAAATGGTAAGCAGAAGTAGATGGCACTGGGCCCATGGGTGGCTCAGTGGTTGAGCATCTGCCTTCAGCTCAGGTCATGATCCCGGAGTTTTGGGATCAAGTTCCACATCAGGTTCCCCGCAGGGAGCCTGCTTCTCTCTCTGCCTATGTCTCTGCCTCTCTGTGTGTCTCTTATGAAAAAATAAATAATATCTTTTTTAAAAAAAGTAGATTCCATATTTAATTTATATAGAAAGTAGAGTAAAAGGAATGAGGAACAAAAACTCTTGGTCATACTATTTAAACCTGAACAATGATACAAATACTATAAGCCATAGAGGAAGAGATTGACAGATTTGGATACAGAAAAAAATTCTGGGTGGAAAAATGTACCTTAACAGCATTAAAAATTTTTTTGTTTAAAGTAGGCTCCATGCCCAACGTGCATGGAGCTCAGTGGAGGGCTTGAACTCACAACCCTGAGACCAAGACCTGAACCAAGACAAAAAGTTGGATGTTTAACCAACTGAGCCACACAGGCACCCTTAAAAAAATTTTAAACTATGCAACATGTATATAGGTAAATGGTTACTGCAATGATCTATAAGAAATTCCCTAAATCACTAAGAAAAGAAATTGAACCAGGATGCCTGAGTGACTCATTTGGTTAAGCATTTGCCTTCGGCTTAGGTCATGATCCCAGGGTCTTGGGATCAAGTCCTGCATTGGACTCCTTGCTCAGCTGGGCAGCCTGCCCCTCCCTCTGCCTGCCCCTCTCTCTGACAAATAAATACATATTTTTTTTAAAAAAGAGGGGGGTTGGGTGGCTCAGTTGGTTAAGTGCGTGCCTTCCGTTAGGTCATGATCTCAGGGTCCTGGGATTGTGCCCCGAGTTGGGATCCCTGCTCAGCGGGGAGCCTGCTTCTCCCCCTCTCTCTGCTGTTCCCCCTGCTTGTACTCTCTATTGCTCTAAGTAAATAAATAAGATCTTTAAAAAAAGAAAGAAAAAGAAATTGAACTTTAAAATTGAAAAACAGGCAAAGGACATGTACAGAAAATTTATAAAGAAATACAAATGGGATGGATAGCTCAGTCAGTAGAGCAAGTAACCCTTGGTCTTGGGGTGTGAGTTCAAGCCCCACGTTGGATGTAAAGATTACATAAAAATAAAATCTTAAAAAAAATTTTTATTAAAAAAAAAGAAATAACAAATGACCAGTAAAT